TAAAAGGCAGATTACTGGATGTTATTAGTAAAAGAAAGAGAAGTGAGGCCTGGTCAGCAAGTACAGCAGTCAACTATAACTTGTTGCAGCTTATGTTTGAACATGCTGAGAGAGGTGAGAGCTGTTAGTTTGAGTGTGTTTTGTAATGAGTTCCAGTCCTTTGCAGCGGCAAAATGAAAGGAGTTATGACCAAACACAGTACGGACTTTTGGAATGATGAGCCTAATGAAGTCACTGGATCTTAAATGCCGATTGCCGTCAGAAATGCGCAGAAGATTTGAGAGGTAATGAGGAGTCATTCCCAAAATGGATTCATAGACCACAAGCAGCCAGTGTTGTAGCCGCCTGGTATGAAGGGAGGGCCAATCCACCAATCTGTAAAGAGCACAGTGGTTGGTGGTGAAGGGTGCACATGTGGAAAAACGGATTGCTGAGTGGTGGAATGTGTCCAGTTTTCTGAGGGTGGTCTTTGATGCCATTTTATATATTATATCGCCGTAATCAAATAGAGGAAGGATGGTCATTTTCACAAGGGTGAATTTGGCAGAGTGTGTGAAGGAGGCCTTGTTTCGATACAGGAAACCCAGTCTAGCTTTGACTTTAGCCAGAAGGTTATTGATGTGTATGTTAAATGAGAGAGACGAGTCCAACCAGAATCCAAGGTATTTGTAGGAGCTGACGAACTCCAGCTCCGAGCCATCAGCACTGTAGACCTTGGGAGGGCTAGGAATGATGAGGTTTTTCCAGTCAAACAGCATACATTTGGTCTTTTTGGGGTTGAGGAGCAGGTGGAGGCTGTGGAGAGACTGTTGGATGGAGGTGAGGCTTTGTTGAAGAGTGGACACAGCAGAGTAGAGTGAGGGACCAGCTGAATATATGATGGTGTCATCAGCATACAAATGAATCAAGGAATTTCCAGCAGCTTTTGCTACATCGTTAATATAAATGGAAAACAAAATAGGGCCTAAGATGGAGCTTTGAGGGACACCTTTAGAGATGGTAAGCGGTTCAGACATGATGTTTTCAGTCTTCACCCGCTGGACACGACCAGCCAAGTAGCTAGCAAACCAGTTGCAACAACTACTGGACAAGCCAATGCTGGTAAGCCTTTGCAGGAGAATGTTATGGTTGACCGAGTCAAAAGCCTTGGCTAGATCTATGAATGCAGCTACACAAGTCTGTTTGTTGTCTATGGCGGTGATGACGTCATCAAGGACCTTCAGTGTAGCGGTGGTACATCCGTGGCCTTTCCTAAACCCAGACTGCAGGTCAGACAAAATATGATTTGAGTCAATGAAGTGAATTAGTTGTTTATGTACCAGTTTCTCTATGACTTTGGCCAGACAGGGCAAAATGGAAATCGGCCTGTAGCAGTTCGGGTCAGTGCCAGAGCCTCCTTTAAAGAGGGGAAGAATCGTAGCCAATTTCCAGTTAAGGGGGAAAACAGACAAATTAAATGATAGGTTAAACAGGCTTGTAATAGGGGAAGCAATAATATGAGCGGCTGATTTTAAAAACACAGGGTCAATCCCATCAGAACCAGCTGACTTGTTTGAATCTAACTTAATAAGTTCATCCAGGACTTCCGAAACCTTAACAGGTTGAAGGGAGAAGCTGGTTGAAGGGAGAAGCTGGGTGATGAAGTAGGCGTGTTAGATGAATCTATTTCAGGGGCAACTGCATCAAAGAAATTAGACGATTTCACGAAATGTTGGTTGAAGTGTGTGGCCATGCGTTGTTTATCAGTAACAACAATGTCATCAAAAATCATAGAAGTGGGTAGATACGGAGAAGCAAGTTTGTTTTCCAAACTCATATGATTTAGGTCATACAACGTGCTGTCCAACCATGTCTAAAGGTCAAAGTATTTCTACCCGTTCCAAATGTGCATGGCAAAAAGCTTCAATGTAGCATCCTCCGGGTTGCATCAGACAGCCTCCCAGATCTCTCACAGAACGCTGTGTGTTTCTATGTCTTTGTAGTGTTGACACAATGAGCTGAAAAAATTTGGATAATGGCGCACAGTTTCAGACTCTCTCTCCGCGGGGGCATTTATGTTGTGGCTGGTTAGGCTGGTAACACGTATAGTGATGGAAGGAGTAGTTGTGTGAAGAATGAAACCAGAGAGCCGGCAAGAGAGAGAAGTTCAGACACCACTGTCCACGTAACCAATCCCTTTAGAAAGTGGATGTAATCATTTTGTGATCAGAGTTGCAAAATTAGAGAGTTTCAGATGTTGAAGGATCTGACAGGCTTTGTTTGAAACCTACCAATGAATATAATAGAATAATAGAATAATAATTCAAAAATGTTTTGTGGGAACCTATAGAGGAAGAAACTTGGAACAAAGGCACACTTACTACACATTACAGTGTCAAATACAGAGAAAGGACTTTCTTACATACAGTAGCAGCTTAGTCTGCATGCATGATGGCTAGCAAGAGGACAACAGCTATGATTGGTCAGTTTTGCTTGTGTTTTCTCCTTTAAGTTCCTGATGCTCCTGGTGGTTGAGGACAGTCAACATTAAGACTGTGTCTGCCTTTCCTCCTATGTTTTCCTGACTCACAGATGACTGGGCTTCATCACCAGTCATCTGTGACTCACGAACTTTCCATGAGTCATGACTTACACCAACCACATTACATTACAGTCATTTAGCAGACGCTTTTATCCAAAGCGACTTACAATTCAGATTCTATCACATTCTACACCGTAGGCACAGCTACGAGAGCAATTTTTGGGGTTAAGTGTCTTGCTCATCAACATGCGACTAGAGGAGCCGGGGATCGAACCGCTGACCCTCTGATTGAAGGACGGCCTTGCCACAGTCGGACTTAACCACAGTCGCCCCACAAACACGTTGCATGACTTCTCTGCAGTCTGCACCATGGCACACATTCATCTGTGTTCATTATTGTTCAGCATACACTCTGTTTCATATTCCACTGACAGGAAAGATTGTTCAGTAAAATTATACAAATAGTGTTGTCAAGTAATCTTCTATTTCTTAACATCCCTCCATCCATTATCTTAAACCGCTTATCCTGTTCATGGTGGGGCTGGAGTGGATTCCAGCTGATATTATGAATGATGACATGTAGTGTTAAAGCGCTTTGAGTGGTCGGAAAACGAGAAAAGTGCTATACAAGTAGAAGTCCATTTACCATTAGGAGAGGCAGGGTTTATCCTGGACAGGTCGCCAGACTATCACAGGCCTATTCCTTAATAGCATTAATTTATGTGTCAAAGTTGACCCATATATGAAACCAAATATAAAGGCTTTGCTTACTATAGGGTGTGCTCGTTTGTTCATATAATGTTGGGATAGCAGTTTGGCTAAAGTATTTTGCCCCGGTAAGACATACTTTGAATCCAGTGTTTTAATCATTGCTCTGAGTCTTTCTCGACTCTCTGTAGCGGGACCATGTCCTTGCAGAGGTGGATCGTTATTGCGTTCGTAATGTCGCTCCACCGCTTGCTTTTCTTGTCATACCCAGCATGCCATTTGGCGGTGAAATTTTATAAATGAACAATTATTAGTGTTACAAATTGTTTATCTGTCACAAACTGTTGTGTTGTGGTGTTTTGCCCTGTTAAATAGCGTTAGTTGTGGGCAGTGGCGGGCTGTGCATTTTATGGCTGGGCTTTCTGTGCTGTCCTACTACAGTTGAACAGCTACGGTGCAGATACATAAATCCGTGCATGACGGGACGCTGCATCAATAACGGACAATGCATAGTCAAATCAACGTAATTAACACAATGACAACCACAAAGTCATAAGAATCAGTGACATATATGACATATGATAACAAAGCATGACAAATCAATCCAGCGAACCTGCAGCGGATCCACGCATTCCACCACAAAAGAGCACGAGCCATTCAAATATTATTCATAAAAACGTTGCTGCAGATGTAAAAAAACAAACGCAGTTTGTCACTTACCAAATTCTTTGTTGACAAAGAGTTTAATCCCAGTACATCATTTCAGTTCCAGTAAGAAGTCCTTCTTGATTCATGGACGCCAGTGACAGTATTTCGCCAGTCTACGGAGGCCGGTTCGCAGCGGGGCTGGGATCCCACCTCCGTCGCCCGGCGCAGACCGCGGTTGTGGAGAAAAGTTTTCAAAAGCACCATAGTGTCCTGCCGTGCTATGGCGTCCTCAGGTTAGCGTAGCATAGCTCCAAACACCAAGATGCTCAGTTAAAATGAAACACATTCCCAGCCATAAAATGTGCGATGCTGTCAGCCAGACAGCTGTGCAATGAGAAAATAAGCTAATGCGAAAAAAAATTATAATACATGTAGTGTATTTTTGAAAAATTATTAAATTATATTATAGCTATAACTTTGTGATTCTGTTTAGGCCAGCAGAGAAGGCTTAGCTGGCCCTGACCACTGGTTGTGGGTTATTAATTGTTGTGTTATAAAGTTAACTTATAACCATGATTAGAGGTCCCTCTCAATACAGTTAAGGCAACTAGCTCTGACTGTTTCATTGACTCCTAAGTACTTGAGAAAAAGCAGTATGTATGTTATTTTGGAAGGTTTTCAATATGTTTGGAAAATTACATGATGACCTATTTTTATTTTTCTTAGTGGCGAACAATATATTTAGCTGCCTGTTGAAGAGTGACAGCAGTTGTTTCGGCTATGCTGGTATATGAAAAATTAATATGATACGGGAAATTAAAACCGGTAAACCGGTATACCGCCCAGCACTACAACTAATCAGAATTAGCAAACATGTTTTGAAGGAAATGTAATCTTGCCCACATTGGTTCATGTTGTCAGCATGAGGAGGAAACATTTATATTCAAAATATCTGCAATATGTGCACTGCGGACAATAAATATTCATATTGAGAATATCTGCAAAATATCAGCTATTCTGCATGACAAACTTCTATCAAGAGCCAGATAATACAACTCAGTAAATGATGTCTTCGTTCCTGTTTCTCTTCCTTTTCTATATGTCAATGCCCCTTGTGTTCCAGGTTCACATCACTGTTATGGACAACAACGACAACGCTCCCATCTTCTCCCAACCAACCTATGAGGTCACTATGTCTGAAGACACTCCACCTGACACTGAGGTGGTCCAGGTTCTGGCATCGGACCGTGATGAGCATCACCGGCTGACCTATTCTCTGCAGAGCTCAATAGACCCAAGTAGCATGCGTCTGTTCCGCATCCACCCCACCCTAGGCATCATTTACACTGCTCAGAGGCTGGACCACGAGGCCTGTGCCCAGCACATCCTCACTGTCATTGTAAGTCTATGTCACTGTCTCTGCCAATGTCTGACATTTAGGGTCGTGTACTAACAGCTGTGGTTCTTTGATCCCCTCACTTTCCACGGAGGGGTCCCAGTCTTATCTGCATTGTTGTTGTACAAAAGACAATCTTGCACATTCCCGAGGACAAACAACAACTGTCCAAATGTTTCCTGGAGGAACTTGCACTTGATATTTTATGTTTAGTATGTGCCAAGATGTAGACCGGATTGTAGTGTAACAGGCTAATTCCACAGGGGAATTTAATGGGCTAATACATTTCAATTTGTTTTCCAACTAATTAGGAGAGGAAAGAGGATACTTTTATACTGATCTGCTTATCCAATAGTAAACTACTAATATCAAAAATGTAAAATTTGGGCAAATACGTGTGGGAAAGGAAAGTGAAAGAGTAGGATTTCTGTTTTTGTGTTTGTTATACTTTGGACAATGGGCACATTTTAGATTTAACAGTTATATAATTATCAGATTTTACTTTTACTTACTTTTCATTGTGACCATGGGGGATGGCTTTTTTTTGATTGTCTTTCTGTTTTCTCCACAGGTGAAGGACCAAGAGTTCCCATACAGGAAGAACCTGGCCCGTGTGCTAATAGAAGTGGAGGATATAAATGACCATGTACCCATCTTTACCAGTGCGCTGTATGAAGGCTCAGTCTATGAGTCAGCAGCAGTGGGATCAGCTGTGGTCCAGGTGACTGCCTTGGACAAAGACAAAGGCATGAACGCAGAGCTACACTACTCCATTGAAGCAGGTAGGCACCTCTGACAGCTTAATACTTGAAATGGTAAATATTTACCCTTAAAAGAACTACCACATTGTTTACATTGTATTTGATCTTCCAACAGGAAACACTGGAAATGCATTCCATATTGAACCAGTTTTGGGTATCATCACTGTTGCTTGTGACCTGGACTTGTCCAGCATAGGCCATTATGTTCTCACTGTGAGAGTCACTGACAATGGCTCCCCTCCCCTGTCCACCACCACTATAGTGCGCATTGCTGTCACCCTCTCTGACAATGCCGGACCAAAGTTCCCTCAGCCTGAATACCAGGCTGAAATCACAGAGAAGGCCGTGATGGGGACCTCCGTTACCACAGTCAGTGCAGTCAGCCAGTCCACCCTTACTTATGATATCAAGCAGGGCAACACAGATCATGTTTTTCAGTTAAATCAGTACAGTGGAGTCATTTCTACCCAAAAGCCTTTAGACTATGAGACTACAGCATCTTACACCTTGATAGTCCAGGCTACCAACATGGCTGGCATGGCTTCTAATGCTACTCTGTTAATTCAGGTAGTGGATGAGAATGATAACCCACCAGTTTTCCAGCAACTTCGCTATCATGGCAGCATCATCGAGGCAGCACCAGTCAACAGCGTGGTCTTGAACTCAGATGACTCACCTCTCGTAATCAAGGCCACTGATGCGGACCGCAACCAAAATGCTCTGTTAGTCTACCAGATTGTTGAGGACACTGCAAAGATATTCTTCACAGTGGACTCAGGTACTGGCTCCATCAGAACCATTGCTAATCTAGACCATGAGATATTTGCCACGTTCCACTTCCACGTTCATGTGAGAGACAATGGCAAGCCACAGTTGACTGCAGACAGTCCAACAGAGGTCACAATACAAGTGATTGACACAAATGATTCACCGCCTCGCTTCACCCAGAATGCCTATGAAACAGTTCTGCTACTCCCCACCTATATGGGAGTAGAAGCTTTGCAGGTTTCAGCCATAGACCCGGACAAAGATGTCCCTACAGAGCTCACCTACTCTCTGACTGATGGAGTACTGCAGCACTTTGCCATCAAACCTTCCAGTGGAGTTATTACAGTCAAACACAACAACTTCTCCAAAGAACGTTTCCGCTTCAGTGTCAAAGTTTCAGATGGGAAATTTTCCAGCACAGCTCTGGTGACCATTCTTGTTCGAGAGGCTCTGGACTCTGGTCTCAGCTTTACTCATAACCTTTACTCTTCATCCATTCAAGAGAATGTATCAAATATCACCAAAGTAGCTGTGGTCAATGCCGTGGGAAACCGTCTCAATGAACCATTGAAGTACACCTTATTGAATGCTGGAACGAGCTTCAGAATTCGTCCAACTTCTGGTGTAATTCAAACCACAGGTATACCCTTTGACCGTGAGGAGCGTGAGTTCTACGAACTGGTTGTTGAGGCAAGAAGGGAGCACGACCATCTGCACGTGGCCAGAGTTATGGTTCGAGTCCACGTTGAGGACATAAATGATAACACCCCTGTGTTTGTTGGACTTCCTTATTATGCAGCTGTTCAAGTAGAAGCTGAGCCAGGATCACCCATTTTCAGGGTCATGGCAGTAGATGGTGACCAAGGGGTTAATGGAGAGGTTTCTTACTATCTCAAGGATGACCATGGTCACTTTGAGATCAACCAGCAGACAGGTGGTCTCAGCCTCAAGAGGGCTTTTGAGTCAGACTTGTCCAATATGGAATACCAGATGGTGATCTATGCCAGAGATGGTGGTTATCCACCTCTCTCAACTACTATAGAGTTCCCCATCACAGTAGTCAACAAAGCCATGCCTGTCTTTGACAAATCATTTTATTCTGTTTCTGTGAATGAGGATGTGGCTGTGCACACACCAATTATCGGCATCAATGCCACTAGTCCTGAAGGTCAAAACATGATCTATACTATAGTTGATGGAGACCAATCTCTTCAGTTTGACATTGGTTTTGATACTGGAGTTATAAGTGTCATCCACTCTTTGGACTATGAAGCCACAGCATTTTACCACCTGACCATCAGAGCCACAGACTATCTGACTGGTGCCCGTGCTGAGGTTGATGTAGATGTGGTTGTCCAGGATGTAAATGATAACCCACCTATATTCCAGAAAATGTCCTACAGGGTAGTTTTGTCTGAAACAGCCATGATTGGAACTCCAGCACTTCAAGTCATTGCGACTGACAAAGACTCAGAGAAGAACAATGTTGTCCGTTACCAGATATTCTCAGATGTGCATAACAGCACAGACTACTTTCACATTGATAGTAGCAGTGGATTAATCCTGACAGCACGTATGCTAGACCATGAACTTGTCCAAAAGTATGACTTCATTGTCAGGGCCACCGATAACGGCTTCCCACCATTGAGTAGTGAAGTATCAGTCATAGTTGTAGTGAATGACATGAATGACAATCCACCCATTTTCAATCAGCTACTGTATGAGGCCTATGTGAATGAGTTAGCACCAAAGGGTCACTTTGTTACCTGTGTCCATGCCTCAGATGCTGATAGCTCCGATTTTGAAAAGTTGGAATACAGCATTTTGTCAGGAAATGAAAGAATGAACTTTGTGATGGACAAAAGTACAGGAATCATCACATTGTCCAGCCACCATAAGCAAAGAATGGAGCCTGTCTTCAGCCTCAATGTTTCAGTGTCTGATGGGGTGTTCACCAGCACTGCACAGGTTCACGTTAAGGTGTTGTGGGCCAACCTGTATAGTCCAGTGTTTGGACAGAATATGTATGAGACAGAGTTAAAAGAGAATGCTGCTGTGGGAACCAAAGTTATACAAGTAAGTGCTATTGAAATTCATTCAAATATGTTTTTGTGTTTGCATAATTTCGCACATTGATATTACGTAACTATACATTTTTGTGTCTGTATTATAAAACTTTTTTTAATTTCAGGTAAAGGCAACAGATGCAGACCCTGGAGTGTTGGGTCACATCATTTATTCCTTTGTTAATGATGTGGGCAAGGACCAATTCAGCATTGATGCAAATGGACAGATCACCACTTTAGAAAAGCTTGATCGTGAGGACCCAGACAATAAGGACATTGTTCTGACAGTGGCAGCCCAGGACCCAGGTGGACGGGTCTCTTACTGTACAGTACAAGTTACTCTGTCAGATGATAATGATAATGTCCCTTGCTTCCGTGCCACAGAGTACAGAGCTTCAGTCAAATCTGATGTGGCTGAAGGCTTTTTGGTGACACAGATTCAGGCTTATGATCCTGATGATGGCACTAACGCCAAAGTGACATATTCACTTTACAGTGAGGCTCATGTCCCTGTGGTGGACATTTTGGCGATAGACCCAGACAATGGTTGGATGGTGACTAAAGGCAGCTTCAGCCACTTGAGGAACTCTGTATTATCTTTTTTTGTAAAGGCTGTGGATGGAGGAAATCCAGTCCGGCACTCTCTAGTGTCTGTCTATATCCATGTACTTTCTCCAGATGCCTTCATTCCTTCCTTCAGCCAACATCAATACTTATTTAGCATGCCAGAGGACACCCCCATAGGTTCAGTCATAGGGACTGTGCGCCTCAACACTTCTCCTGGATATACCTCGCTTTCTGCTACTTTTGCCCTGGTTAACGGAGAGACCAGAGAAAACAACGAAAATGTGGTGTTTGTGGTGGATAAGGATACAGGTGTGATCAAGCTTGATAAGCTTTTGGACCATGAGGTGATAAAAGAATACCATTTGAAACTCACTGCCACTGTACAACAGGCTAAGCTGGATTCTGTGACTTCTGTTAATGTTGAAGTCAAAGTGTTGGATCTAAATGACAACAAACCAGCGTTTGAGGCAAACTCCTATGAGGCCACAGTTATGGAAGGAATGTCAATTGGAACCAGAATCATTAAAGTCCAAGCACTAGACCCAGACTCAGGGGCCAATGGCCAGGTAACATACAGTCTTGGGACATTAATCCAGTCAGATGGGGATTTAGATACATTGGTTGTCACCTTTAGCATTGACAGCAACACAGGCTGGATCTCCACACGCAAGGACTTGGACCATGAGACCAACCCATCCTACATATTCACGGTAGTAGCCTCAGACCTTGGGGAGACCCTATCTCTTTCCGGTACCACCACTGTGACCGTAGCAGTGTCAGACATCAATGACAACCCCCCCAGGTTCCTGGAGCAAAGCTACTTCGGTTCAGTTCAGGAGAGTGACCCACCAGGCGAGGTGGTGGCTGTGCTGAACACCAGAGATGATGACAGCTCTGCCGTTAACCGTCAAGTCAGCTACCACATCACTAGTGAGTACCACTGTAAATATTTGTTATTGCACTGCAACTGTATCAGCAGACATTGACACTGGATTTCTGCAAAACCCTGGATTTTGTCCAATTAAGTTTTTTTTATCATCCAGTGCCAATGTTTTTATAGTTTTTGCTTTCCACAATATCTGTTCATGACCAAGAAAAAGATTTTTCCGGACACATAAATGGAGGTGTTTGTGGTTGAGGTGGTCCCTGAACACTCGTTCCCCCTTAATTTCTCTACTTACTTAGTCCTCTAGCAGTGACAGTGCATCCATAATGCAGCATTACATGAGTGTCACCACAGTGTGTATATGTTTATAGAAATCATGGCTGTTTCAAAAATGTTCGACAATCAGTGGATCCCCAACCCTGGTTATCATTCAAAAATGGAAGTAGATGACACAATTTATTTATTTATAGAAGTTTTGTTAAGGTGAACTTGGCCAGCTTAATGATCAGGACTCATAATGAGGATATGGAGCTGTCGCTGTCTTTATTTCCACACATTTGTAATTTACACAATCCATATGTGCAGGTGGTGAATATGTGCCAGGTGAGGTGACTGGAGAAGGCAGAGTGTGACAGTCACCATGGTGCACTCTAATCAGATTGTCTGTATACAGTAGACTGTATCTATCCCTATTGAATAAACCATAAATGAGTAAATAAAGTCATGTTAACTGCAGTGATTTTTAAGCACAAACTATATAAATACAAAACTCATACTTAGTTACATAAGCACATTATTAGAAGCTGTTATTGAAAAGTATTGACGTTCTGATCTGCAATTCTTTAATGATATTTGATGTCTTGGATTTCTACAACCACTGTGCCGAGCTGACCACGAGTGTCGGTGGTCGAGCCCTCTCCTCAGACAGCGCTGATGAAATATTGAGAGGAGTTTGATTTGAGATTTCAGTTGGTTTACCTTCATTCATCTGTCACAGATAGACGACCTCCTCCCACCACGTTCGTCCCCTTCCTCACATCCATTCATCTATCTTCAATATGCGACGCTGTTCATTTCATTAAACCTTTAATATCTATCTTTTGTGGTGGAGTCCTTGCTAGTGACAAGAAGTTAACTAGTTAACTTAGGTTTGTGAGGAGGGCCACACCTTAACCTTCGACCCTCTCTTCCCTCTGTTTATTTCCTCTTATTCAATCATGTGCATACCTCTCCCATCTCTCCTTACCCAGGTACTGTCTGGGTCCCGTAATTGAAACATTGAGCCTCCTCAGCCTCCATACATCCTATACTCCTAGTTTTATTAAACCTTTAAAGATCTCTAACCCGAAAATTAAGATGCACTCTCTCTCCACTTGACAAGCAGATGACTAATTCTTTATCAGTAAAATTTAAGATTTTCAAACTAGTTTTGAATTTGACTGAGTTGATGTTCCTTTGTCATTGTCCCTGTTATTGTGATTTATTTACTAAAACTTCCTTTTCCTCACATTGCAGTGATAGTCACCCTGTAGACACTGTAGACCATGTTTATGTGGAGTATTGTGCCTCTCCAACTTGACATTCCAGTTATATGGGTCAGCAGCCGGCCAGTACGCTGATAAATCCGTAGTGTTATGGTCCAACCTTTATCCACTGCTGCAACATTCATTTCCCTGTGCCGTCCACTTAAAGCAGCCACTTATAGTAATTGTGTGATCATAGTGGAGATTTTTTATCAAACTGTTACTTCCTTGGGTGCGGTGGTTCAAGAAATTGTCTTTATTGTAAATGTGTGGGCATTAATCATATGATTGTGTGTGAAGCTGTTTGCCCTAGTTTACTTAAAGGTGTGGATGGAATAAGACTAACACCATACAATACAACAGAGGTGTGAGCTGGAGTCACGGACCGGGACTTGAGTCAGACTACAATCTGAATGTGATGACTTAAGACCTCACTTGAAAAAAAGAATGAACAGTGATCAGCAATTTGTGGAGAAACTGATCATAAAGTCCATGTATGCCTACATGTCTGAAACCTTTTCCACTGATCCTGGATCTCACTGTGCCTGTCTCTCTGTCTGCTTGTGTGTTGTCCAGGTGGGAACTATCGTGGTGTGTTTGCACTCGGTCTGGTTCAGGGTGAATGGAAGATGTATGTAAAGTGGCCACTGGACAGGGAGGAACGCAACCTCTACGTCATCAATGTCACCGCTAGCGATGGACTCTTTGTTTCCCAGGCAACGGTGGAGGTGACAGTGATAGACACCAATGACAACAGCCCCATCTGTGACCATGTGAGGAATAGAACCGCATGTTGTTCTTTTTTATTTATTTGTTGTTTGAGATGCCTTGTCCTTTATTTGACTTAGCTCACTGTAAATGTAGCTTTGTTTCTTTGCTGTGTGTGTACATGTGTGTCTGCAGGCTGTGTACACTGCCTCCATTTCAGAGGACCTCCCAGTAAACAGTGTGCTGCTGAGGATTGGAGCTACAGATGCTGATGTAGGCGTCAGTGCCTGGATCCAGTACTCCTTACATGGTCCTGGATCCCAGGACTTCAGCATTGACCCGGACACTGGTAAGCATGCAGAATGGCTTCTCTTGGAGCATTAGTTTTTAGAGAGCTTGCAGCAGTGAAATGGAGCCAGGCCACCAGCTTATCACAGCTTACACAGTTAGACGCACAGTTATTCCTTTGGATGCTTACATTTGTGTAAGCATCCATTTGTGACTCTCTCATGGCACTGTATGGCTCCATCTCTTAATGTTTCACAAGTTGTTTTTAACCTGTCCAGGTGAGGTCAAGTCATCTATGAGTCTTGATCATGAGATGACACCCTACTACCGGCTCGTTGCCCAGGCAACTGATGGTGGTGGACGATGGTGCCGTGCTGAGGTGCAACTGGCAGTAACTGATGTGAATGACAACCCACCCATCTTCACCCTGTCACAGTACACTGCCAGTGTCTATGAAGACACCGCCACCAAAGCCCTGCTCACTCGCATTCAGGCCATAGACCCTGATGAAGGTGACACCACTACTACTATTACGGCTACTACTACTGGTGGTACCACTGCTGCAAGTTGTGCTTCAAATGATTCTATGCTATGTTTTGAGGGTTAAAATGGAAGCAGAGGCAGACACAAAGAGAGTAGAGAAGAGATCCCAAGTACAGAGAGAACAGAAAAAGGTGTATATAAATAATAATGTATAGTTTGTCTGTGTCTTTAAAGTCTTGACTCAATTAAATGTACAGATGGGGACCCCGGAGCACCCTTGCTCTCTTTGAAAACATTCATTGTGTATTCTTGGTTTATCACATGAAAAGTGACAGAAGTAGTTCTTAGAAGAGGTGTATGCCCTGTCTACACATGCGTATACAGATAGTTATCGAAACAGATATTTTTTAGGTCACTAAAACGGATATTTAGAAAATGTCTTCGTCTTTGTATGTGTGTGGACATGTAAAACGGAGCGTTTGGGAAACGACGGCATCTCCCTAATTCGCGCATGCCCATTGTTGCTTTGTGTAATGAGCATGCACCAGAAACGATAACAGAGACGCTCGACCACTGGAATGTTTATGTGTTGTTGGCACTGCTTGGTCTAATGACTACTTTACATTTGAACTTTATATCACTGCACCACTTTATGGCCAAACAGCCACTGAGATGTAGTTTCGCCATAGCACCGTAAATAACATTTGTACAAATCAAATAATAATAATAAGCTACTGCTTTACTATTGTTTACTATTTGTTTACAACGTCAAAGGTGAATAAGCTCACTGGGCATGCTCAGGAATCTTCTTCTCTGTTAATTGAGTTAACCGTTGACAAAGTTTTTATTGCCACCTAGTGGCCCGGCGAGCGTTTGGCGTCGTTCTTTACGTTCTAGTCTGGACGGAGATATTTTGTAAACTCAAGGTTATGTGGACAGAATTTTATTTTAAAACGGAGAAGAAAACATTTCTTTGAAAAAAAGAAAAATGTGTAGACAGGGCTTAAGAGAGAAGAGCCAAACCCTGCCTACTTTCACACCTCCACCTGGCCAATCACTATAGAGTTATAATATACAACATTTGTCAGAAGCAGCAGTCATTGGAAGACACAGTTAGAAGATCCAACAAATATTCAGTTTCAGGCACTCTGAGGCCTTTAAACTTCTTTAAACCTACCTGACACTCTTTTTCTGGCTTTACAGCAGGTCCAGGCCGTATGGTGGTCTACTCCCTGGCCGACTCTGCAGGAGGCTCCTTCTCTATCGATAAGTCCTCAGGCATCGTGGTCCTGGAACGCATTCTCGACCGCGAGGTCCAGCCGGCTTATCAGATAACAGTCCATGCGTCTGACCAGGGTTCACCCTTGCCCCTCTCCTCATCGGTCAATGTCACTATCACTGTGCTGGACATCAATGACAACCCACCTGTGTTTGAGCGGCGTGATCAGCTTGCTACAGTGCCGGAGGATGTGGGAGTGGGCACCGAGGTCCTGAGAATTTATGCTGCCAGCAAGGACATAGGGACCAATGCTGAGATCACTTACAGTATCCGATCAGGAAATGAGCATGGGAAGTTCCACATCCACCCACTGACCGGTGAGTGTGCTAACCACCGCTCTACACTTGTCATCCCTCATTTTATTCACACTTGATGTTCATTATAACACATTCCATATTGTCGCACATATGAACACTGCAACCTTTAGAAATGTTTCTTTTCTTAGATGCTATTTTGATATAAATTCTGTCTTTACTTAAATGCATATTTTTGTTCCCTCTCTCTCCTCACCTTGTTCAGGTGCCATTTTAGTTGCCCAGCCCCTGGACTATGAGACCTGCAGGGACTACTTTCTAACAGTGGAGGCTTGTGATGGCGGCACGCCACCATTGAGTGCAATTACGACAGTGAACATAAACCTGACAGATGTCAATGACAACGCACCCATGTTCAGCCGTGACCTCTACGCTGCAGTGGTGTCAGAGGATGCTACCACTGGAGAGTCTGTAGTCCAGGTAGGTTCCAGTCAGAGTCACGTTTTGCCTGCATATATGTGAGGATGCCTGAGGCCATGTCCACACTACTACGTTTGCATTTTAAAATGCATATCTTTTGCTACGTTACACTGAGCCTCCACACTAGGCCGGAGTTTTAGAGCACCAAAAACAGATCAGTTTAAAAACGCTCCAGATAAATTTGAAAACTCCGGGGTTACCTGTTAATGTGGACGGGCGTAAATGCATCAGTTTGGGAATGATGACTTAGGGTACTTCTCAAGTCTCTTAATTGTCGTTTCCTCGCTCCTCGATCCTCACTTGAACCGGAAGTTGTTTCTGCGCCGCCATATTGACGGCCATCCCAAAGCTCTAATGTAGCTCTGAGGAGCGAGGATGGAGGAGGGACCTCGGAGGAGCCATGAGCGAGGAACCACGAGAACAGACTTCCAGGACTTCCACGCCCCCTCATTGTTCATCAGTTATGTGATTGGACGCTGCAGCCGATCAGACTGACTGACTGGAGTTTCATACCAGAGTGAAGACGGATCACAGACTAAACTCTAGTTTATGTTTGATTAGGTTTCTGATTCACCGTCTGGTTTAAATAAATGTTCATTGTACTCTGAACAACAAAAGGACCACAAACAACTTTCTACATTTATTAGAAAGATTTGTGTTTTCATGATCTGATATTTCCCTCAATAACTTTTATTATGAATACAATTAAAGTCAGAGAGAGCTGGAGAGACTAAACACTTTTTACATCATTCCTGAGTGTTTGATGAGTTTTATCATTTAAGAGAAACAATAATCATATTCTGGGTTATTTAATAATGACGCCACAGTCACAATTTCAAAACGTACAGACGCAAATAATTCATAAATAAGACGATCGCATTCCGCCGGTAGAAATGGATCCTGTGCTTATAAACAGAACACAGGACACAGTTTGTTAACAGTAGTCTGTTAACAAACTGAGAGAAACACCTCTACAGTGGTGATTACTGTGTGTCTTTATTAGTTATTAGTATTATTAGTTACTGTTATTAAGTACAGTGATCATGTGAACACACACAAACTTATCAAAAGTCTCTCCAGCTGTTAAAGCCGACTGACAGCTGATCCAGCTGTGATCATCAGCACCGTCATCAGAAACAGACGTCGCTTCACGTGACGCAAATGAGGAAAGGACGTCTCATGTCTCCTAAAACATATCTCCTCGTTCCTCTCTCCTCGCATGGTTTCCTCCATGCATCCCTGGTGGGAGGGACTAAGACGCAAAGAAAGGACGCAAGTGAGGGAAACGGGGATGCAATTAAGAGACGTGAGAAGTACCCTTAGACATCCGCATTGGCTACTTGATTGGTTCTTAGCAGTCACGACATGTCCTTCCCTGATTCGTCACGCCCCTATCACCCTTTTCCGGAAGACCACAAACAACAGCCTTGATTATCGATCGACTACCAGTTGTTAATTCAACATGGATAACTGATTACAAGCGTTGCTGATCTTGTTGTCTATACTAGCAGTTGTTGTGGAGTTAAATTCTGTATTTTGTAATTCTACTACTGCCGACATGCGGCTCTGAAGGCAGGGTTCACCTGGACCGGTTGCCAGACTATCACAGGGCTGACACACAGAGACAGACAACCATTCACACTCACATTCACACCTACGGGCAATTTAGAGTCATCAATTGTCCGGAGAACCCGGAGAGAACCCACGCTGACACAGGGAGAACATGCAAACTCCACACAGAAGGCCCGTCTAGTCTGGGAATTGAACCCCAGCCCCTCTTGCTTTGAGGCGACACACCGTGCAGCCCATTTTACTTTACTGCACAACGATAATGTAGCATTGCCGAAAAATGCATTTCCTAAACATGTTTTAACTTCCACTAATTTTTTTATTTTTATAATCTTCTCACATGAATTAACTCTGATGGCTGCCTGACAGGTAGCGAAGGAAAAGTACAGCATGCTTTGGAAAATGGAAAATTGAAAATGGCCAGCAGTGATGGAAAGAAAATGGTATTTTCAGAAAATGGGTTAAAACATACACAATTAATGCTACAAAGCAGCATAAATAGGCACTGCAACATACTGTAATATCTGTGAAATGTATTTGGCCATGAATTGTAATAGAAATCATCAAAATGCAGCGCAAACCCAGGCCTTTTGTTTCCAGAAGAGTCCTCTATATTAATAAACCAACGAAGCATAGCAGCAGCTTGGATTATTAGTCCCCCAGCATCACTGTAAAGTGCTGCTGATGTCTGTTCAGCCTCATACTGTACTCTGGTTGGTAAAGTTTGGATCAAGTCCAACCAATATCACCTGAGCTTCATAACGGACTTTATAAGGGACTCCAGTGTCGTGCCCATATATAGCTGTGTGCTGGCAGAGAAGGCTCGTATCTATACAGTTTATGAGGAATCTGTGATATATGGATGAAAAATATTTCATCCAGTTTGCTTTTTAAAAGCATTTGTGTCAGTATAGGACAGTGAAACAGTCACTCAGCCTGCAAGTGTGTGTGTGTGTGTGTGTGTGTGTGTGTGTTTTCAGCTGGTAGCAGAGGACGTTGACAGTCAGCTGAATGGAGCCATTCTCTACTCCGTTGTCAGTGGAGACCGAGACAGCCAGTTCTTCATTGACCCCCTCCGTGGGGTCATCAAGGTCAACAAGCCACTGGACCGTGAGACAGTGAGGACACACACACAAATACACACACTTCTAACCTCTAGAAATAGCATCACAGTCGCACTTGATTGTAGCAGTAAAGTACAGCTTTGTAACCTATAGTTAGGTCAGCATGAGATCAACTGTTAGCGTTAAATATAGTGCAATATGTATGTTAAACTAAAATAACAGCTATAGCTTATGTTCCATGAGTGCCACACACTGGAATCTTGGTTAAAGACATTTGCAATTGCTCACACACTAAAATGACACATACAGCACAATAATTGAGACTGATACTGACATGTCACTTTCTCAACACAGTTCTCTACATCAGAC